CTAAAAAGCTACAGTAATCAAAACAGTGTGGTACTGACATAAAGACAGACATATAGACTAGTGATAGAAGAAATCCTCACTTATTTGGTTAAATGATTTTCAACAGGGTGCCAAGAACATTCAGTGGGGAAAAGGACAGTCTTTTCAACCTATGATGCTTTAAAAACTAGAGATCTACGTGCAAAGTGTTTCTGTACATACATACAAAAATAAACTCAAAATGGATCAAAGGCCTAAACATAAGAGCTAAAGCTACAAAACTCTTAGAAAAAATACAAGGGAAAAGCTTCATGACATTGGATTTGGCAATGAATTCTTGAATATGACACTAAAAGCATCAGCAAAGAGGGAAAAAAGGTAAGTTTAACTTAACCAAGATTAAATTTTTTTTGTGCAATGAATACTATCATGAATATACTCAACATTACTGAACCGCACACTTAAAAATAGTTAAGATGGTAAATGTTATATGTTCTTTACCACTATTTTAAAAAATCTAAATTTGATGGGGTAAAAAGGGACACTATCAACAGAGTAAAAAGACAATCCACAGATTAGGAGAAAATATTTGCAAACCACATATCTCTGATGGGATTGATATCCAGAACATATAAAAATTCCTACATATCAACAACAACAAAATAAACAACCTCATGCAAAATAGGCAAAGAACTTAAATAGCCATTTTTCCAAAGAAAATAAACATATGGCCAATAAGCACATGAAAAGATATTCAATATCACTAATCATTAGGGAAATGCAAATAAAAACGATAATGAGATGTCACTTTACACGCATTAGGATGGCTACTCTCCAAAACACGAAACCCAGAAAATAAGTGTTGGCAAGGATGTAGAGACACTGGAACCCTTGTGCATTATTGATGGGAATGTACAATGGGAAATAGAGGGGTTCCTCAAAATATTAAAAACAGAATATATGATCCAGTAATTCTACTACTGGGTATATACCAAAAAGAAAGAAGAGTCGGGTCTCAGAGATATTTATATATCCATGTTCACAGCAGCATTATTTACAATAGCCAGAATATGGAAGCAGCCCAAGTGTTCACCACAAATAAATGGATAAGCAAAACGTGGTATATACATAAAATGTGGCCAGATGTGGTGGCTCATGCCTGTAATCCTCGCACTTTGGGAGGCCAAGGTGGGAAGACTGCTTGAGGCCAGGAGTTGAAGATCAGCTTGAGCAATACAGCAAGACCCCATCTCTACAAAAACTAAATTAGCTGGGTGTGGTGGCACACTCCTGGATCACTTGAGCCCAGGAAGTTGAGGCTGCAGTGAGACATGATTGTGCCACTGCACTCCAGCCTGGGCAACAGCACAAGATCCTGCTTCAAAAAATAAATACACAGAGCAGAATATTATTTGGGCTTAAAAAGGAAGAAAATTCTGACATACGCTACGACGCAAATGAACTTTAAGGACATTACGCTAAGTAAAATATTCCAGTCACAAAAAGACAAATACCATATGGTTCCGAGACAGAAAGTAGAACAGTGGTTGCAGGTGCAGGGAGGAGGGGTGAATGGGGGGCATTACTGTTTAATGAGTATAGAGAGGTCTTGAGATGAAAGACAGTGATGGCTGTACAAGAATATGAATGTATTTAATGCCAATGAACAGTACACTTCTATAATGGCAAATTTTATGTTGTATATATTTTACCACAAAAACAAACAAAAAACTCTATACAAAAAGGCTGCAGATTTTGGCTTATCAAATGGGTCAATGAGTTCCAATCACTGAGACAGGGCCAAATGTGGAAAGAGCAGCTTTGGCTAGGAAAACTAAGTTTTGCGGGTGTGTTAAGCTTAATGCTAACTAGACAACCAGATGTAGACATCAAGTAGGCAGTCTATTAACTAAATTTGGAGTTCCAGAGAAAAAGTCAAGAATAGCAATGCAGATTTGGATAAAATACAGATATAAGCACTTAATTTGGGGGTTATGAGTATAGGGATGATATTTAAAACCATAGGATAGGATGAGATTACCTTGGAACACTCCAACATTCAGGGGTAAAGCATAAGGTGAGAAATCAACAATGAATGGAGGTGGGCAGTGACATAAAGTAGGTGGTTTTGTTGTTGTTGTTTTGAGGCAGAGTCTCGCTCTATTGCCCAGGCAGAGTACAGTGGCATAATCACAGCTCACTGCTGCCTTATCCCCTGGGTCCAAGCGATCCTCCCCTCTCAGCCTCCTGAGTAGCTGAGACCACAGGCCATGCCCCACCATGCCCAGCTAATTTTCTCTATGTTTTATAGAGACATGGTCTCCCTATGTTGCCTAGGTTGGTCTCAAACTCCTGGACTCGGGCTATCCTCCAGCCTCAGCTGGGATTACAGGCATGAGCCACCATGCCCAGCCAAAATAGGTGCTTCAAAAAAAAAAAAAAAAAAGCCCAGACCTAGGCCCTGTAAACATGGTACCTAAGAGGTAGAGGTAAAATACAAATATGTATTTTAAATACATATTTTAAAATATTTAGAATATTTAAAATATTCTAAAATACATATTTTAAATAAATATTTACAAACACAAATATGTATTTGTAAAAAAAATACAAATATGTATTTTTTTAAACTCCCTAGGCTACAGCATTCAATAGTCTGAATGTAAGAGAAGTGAGGGGATAAACTGTACAGCAGCACTGGGAATGTGAATGGGATAAAGAATTTTGAGATATGTACTAAAAAGGCACCACTGCCAGGACTTGGTGACTGACTAGATGTGGGATGGAAAAGGAGAAGAAAATAAATGATATTGGTTTCTTTTTTGGGAGACTGGAAGAGTATTTCTGCCATTAATAGGTAATATATGATAGAAAGATAGAAACAAGGGTTTTGGTGGTAGTGGTGATGGTGGTAGTGTGTGTGTGTATTAGGAAGGAGGACTAAAAAAGATAATTAGGGCTGTCACAACAGCCAACGCTAATTAGGTACTTACTTGTCAGTGCTTTATATCTATTTTTGGGAGCCGGGCATCCCTCTGCAAGAACATTGTCATCAAAGATCACAACAATCCCACTTTGAAAATGAAAAAACGGGTTTGCTGGGCACGGTGGCTCACGCCTGTAATCTCAACACCTTGGGAAGTCAAGGCAGGCGGATCACTTGAGGTCAGGATTTTGAGACCAGCCTGGCCAACATGGTGAAACCCTGTCTCTACTAAAAAAAATACAAAAATTAGCCAGGCACGGTGGCTTGCGCCTGTAGTCCCAGCTACTCAGGAGGCTGAGGCAGGAGAATTGCTGGAACCTGGGAGGTGGAAGCTGCAGTGAGCTGAGATCACACCACTGCACTCCAACCTGGGAGACAGAGTGACACTCCATCTCAAAAAAGAAAAAAAAATCAAAAATAAAGGCCCAAATTAATAGCTAGTAAATAGCACAGAAGAGCCTCAAGTCTGGATTTGACTGACTCCAGCCAAAGTTTGAGGTACCCATGGCATCCTAGTTAAGGATGTGGAAGTCAGTAACGTAGCTAAAGTCTCAGTAAGGAGAGGGTCACCCAGAAAGAGAATATATAGATTGGGAAATTATTATTCATGCACTTGGCTAATTCTTGTAATGGTATAATGAGACCTTTTCCTCACCCAGAAAATTAAGATAATACTTAATCTATAGATAATAACCACTGAGGGCAAGAACCTCATCACAGTTTTTGTATTCCTAGAGTTACAATGCCTGGTACAAAATGACCCCTCAACAAAAGTTTGCCAAAGGTTTAAAAACGAAACAAGTCAATATACTGGCCATAGTTAGAAAAATCCTGCGTGATAGAAGAAATATTTCCTGATCAACCTACAGAATAGTTTTTATTTCCTGTGTAGCATGTTACAAATGCACTGTTTCTTTCTGGACACAATAGTATCTGTTTTATGAATTGGTCTGCCAAAAGTAATAGATATAGGAGATGGAATTCAGTGAGACAGGTGCTGTGATACACTGCTGGGGACAGATAAGTATCTTCTGGGAAGGCAATCTGATAAAATGTATCAAGAGCCTTAAAGCCCTAACTCAGTAATCTTACTTAGGAATTTATCCAAGAAAACAATAAGAGATGTGGCCAAAACTTTAGGTTGGAAGTAATAAAAAATATCCAGTAATAGGAAAATAATTTAAAATATCATCACACAGCCATAGGGTAGAATATTATGTTGCTCTTAAATCAAGTTTTTGAATACTTAAGGATACTAGGAAATTCTTTTGATAAGTGAAATGAAAAAAAGGTATAAACTATACCTAGTATGACCACAATTTTGTATTTACATGTATGTGTAGCTATATATATCTGCATTTATTATTACCTAGAAAAAAGTGGATGGGTGTCGTGGCTCATGCCTGTAATCCCAGCACTTTCAGAGGCCAAGGCGGGTGGGTCACTTGAGGCCAGGAGTTTGAGATCAGCCTGGCCCACAAGGCAAAACTCTCATCTCTACTAAAAATACAAAAATTAGCCGGACATGGTGGCGCATGCCTGTAGTCCAGCTACTCAGGTGGCTGAGGCATGAAAATCACTTGAACCTGGGAGGCAGAGGTTACAGTGAGCCAAGATCGTGCCACTGCAAGATACCCTGTCTCAAAAAAAGAAAAAAGATTAGAATATATCACAAAATGCTATAAGAGTTTCTTTGGGTGGAAAGATTAAAGAAGATCTTGGTTTGCTTCATCATGTTTTTCAGTATTTCTAAAATTTCTGCAAAAAGCACATTTTCATTTTTCATTTTTTTTAATAAAAAAAAATTATTCTTAGAGATTAGGTCTCACTATGCTGCTCAGAGTGGAACGCAGTGGCTATTTACAGGCATAATCATAGCTCACTGCAGCCTTAAACTTCTGGCCTCCAGCAATCCTCCCACCTTATCCTCCCAAGTAGCTGGGACTAGAGGTGTGTACTGCTACATGAGGCTTTTCAGATTTTCCTCTTAAAACCTGAAAAAGACAAGATAAAATAAAAGCAAAGTAGAATTCACCTTCTTCCTTTTTCTAGAAGGATTCCTTGTGGGGTCAGGCTTCTCAAATTCTGCTGACTTTGCCTCTTCCTTTTCCTCTTCCTCATCAGGTATCAGAGAGTATTTGGTCCCACCTGGTTGCATGAAACAATCTTTTGCAAAGTGGCCTGCAGCAGAGAAGTAGAAAAGGTATAGAAGAAGTAAGTAGTCTCTCCTCTCAGCAAGTGAATCTTCCCCCAAGGCTCCTGAAATGCGCTAGCTGGCTCAGGAAATATTGTTGGGTTCATTCAAAGCAGCTGTTTGATTCAGAGTAGACTTTCCACTACCTCAACATGGCACTGCTCACTCAACCACAGTCACACTAGCAGCTGTTCTTAGGGCTGTGGGGAACACTGGTACTGTTCTCAAAATGGCAGGGGATATGGTTTGTACTGCTTGAGCAAAAGCACTGAACCATATGGAGAAGAGAAAATAGACTTCTTTGGCCAGAGCATATTGTGTAAGTAAAGATAAGGCTGGAAAAGTAGTTTAGAGACAGACTCTGAAAGGCCTTACTTTGGCATTCAAACGGCAGAGGATGCAGGTTTGTACTGCCCTCCATTGGCAATGGGGCTTATTGATTTTCTAAGATCTATTTTGGAACATATTCCTGACAATCAAAGACTGCTCCAGAGAGCAGGATGCTTAGCAGAGGGAGCTGAGTGGCAGGCCAAGCCCTAAAGGAAGATAGCTTGTAGGTAGCTGGCAGCAAGTGGGCACTCACATCTAAGCTAACACACAGAGAAATAGGCAGTCACCTACGGGCACTGAACATTTACAGACTGTCAGGTCTGGCAAGCACCTTAGAGATCATCAAATCCATCCTACATTTTGTGGAAGATGAAAGCCCAGAGTTGAGAAGTAGCTCAAGGTCCCATAGACAGAAGCAGAGTTCAAACTTACCTTGGGTCTCATGCCTCCCTGCCCTGTGCTTTCTGTTGCACCAAAACCAACTACCTTTGACCTGACCTTTACTAACTGGGACAAATTCCACCTCTCATTATTCTTCTCTTCTTTATGTAATGCCTGTTGGATATGGTTAAGGTTAAAGGACCCTCACCTTCCCTGAGCTTATAGTGGTATTGAGGGGCCCTTTAACAGACACTATGCTCTACACTGCTAGTTGTGTCTGAGTTTGTGGTAGATCCTGTCTTAGGGGCACAGAGGAATTGTATGAGATAATCAAAAAGCTATGTGTGGGCTGGGCACAGTGGCTTATGCCTGTAATCTCAGTACTTTGGCAGGCTGAGACAGGAGGATCATTGGAGCCCAGGGAGATAAGCCTGGGCAACACAGGGAAACCCTGTCTCTACAAAAAATTTTTTAAAAATTAGCTGGACATGGTGGTATACACCTGTGGTCCCAGCTACTCAGGAGGCTGAGATAGGACTGCTTGAGCCCAGGAGGTCAAAGATGCAGTGAGCCATGATCATACCACTACACTTTAGCCTGGGTCACCCTATCTTTAAAAAAAAAAACGAAAAGAAAGAAAGAAAAGAAAAGCTATGTGTAAAGTACTCTGTACCTCTGGGTCCAGCAGCTGGGTGGCACCTGGAAGGGAAATATAGCAGAGTTTTCCAAATACGTGGAATGTTCCCACAGTTTTCCTGAGGAGGTATTCTTTCTCTCAATTTTATTTTTTCCTTCTCCCCCTACGCTAATGATAAGCAGGGGTTTAAAACCCCACAACTTCAACCAGGGCACAAATCTGCAACCAGTTATTGTAGAAAAATCAACACAGCAGGATACATGGAAGTCTAGGGAGAAGGGGTGACAACTGAGGTCACCCTGAAAATGAGAAGCTGGCAATCTCTCTCATTATAGCTCCAACTAGGGAAATCAGGCTAGAAGACCTTTTAATATTTGAGTAAGAGTAGAGGAAACCTGAGGAAACAGAGCTAAAAAGAAGTGAGTATCCTGTATTCCCTATTCAATATTCTGTAAAAGGGTATTGTATTCAGAACTCTGACATTAAAGAGATAAAAAGATAAAAGTCTGACGTGGTTCTTTAAGTTATATATTTCCAAGTTGCTTAATTTTTGCAGAATCATCATCCTTGGAGATAAAATTAGAATGTTACTCATAATCCAACACTCTTACCCCTCCTGGCATAGTTCATGGGGGTCTTGCCCAGACAAGGCATAAGCTGTGGGTGGGATGGGAGGAGTGGTGGTAGTGGTATAGCATCTGATAGGGCCAGCGCTCAGAAAAGAAAACAGGAAATGCATCACCCCATGAACTCTGATGTGAGTCTGATGGAAATAACAGCAAAGGCCATCACTTGGCTAAAAAACGGGATGAACTAAACTCACAATGAGCTGCCTCCTTCTTCCAGAAAAGGGTCCATCCACAAGGAGAGAAACGTGGAAAAGGCAGAGGCTTCACCCTACCTTTACAGCCACACTTCTTGCAGGTAGTGTTCAAGACAGCCTCAAGGGTGATCTTCTGCCCAGTGTAATCCTGGAAGGATCGCCTCCGCCTCTCTTCTTGCCTATAATGAAAAAGATACTGACTGCTGGCCTCCTTAAGAGATATGGCCAGAGACACTACAAGGTAGGTTGTATGTTGGTTTTTTGTTTTTGGCAGGGAAAGTGGAGAAAGAAAGAAAGTTTTTGGCAGAACAAGGCAGGCAGTAAATGCAGTTATGTGAAATAGCCCTAAATTAACAATTATAAATGAGACTAACCCTCATCTCACTAATGCACAGAGGGTGAAAATATATAATTACTCACTATGCTAAACACCCTACAACCTTTACCAGGTCACTCATAGCTTTAAAAGACCTTCAAAGGCTTTCTAGAAAATCAGCTACAAATTCTTTACCTTGGCATTCAAGGCCTTTTGGAGTCTGTCTCTAAACTACTTTTCCAGCCTTATCTTTACTTACACAATATGCTCTGGCCAAAGAAGTCTATTTTCTCTTCTCCATATGGTTCAGCGCTTTTGCTCAAGCAGTTCTCTCTCTCTCTGAAACGCTGTTTCCCCACTTGACTCCCACCTCACCACTTCACTATACCTAGACATTTCACAGCTCAGTTGTTACTAGCTCTCCTTCTATCAAGTCTTTTCCTCTGAGACCCCCAAACAGAATTAATCTCTTTGTTGCCTTTCTCATAGCCTTTTAAAAATTATTTAAACTTCTTACCAAAACATAATATATGTGTTGATATGGTTTGGCTCTGTGTTCCCCCACACACAAAAATCTCATGTTAAATTGTAATTTCCAATGTTAGGGGAGGGACTTGTGGGAGGTGATTGGATAATGGGGTCGGATTTCCCCCATGTGATAGTGAGGGAGTTCTCACGAGATCTGATGGTTTAAAAGTGTGTAGCACTAAAAAAAAAAAAAAAAAAAAAGTGTGTAGCACTTTCCCCCTTGCTCTCTCTTTCTCTCCTGCTGCCATATGAAGATATACTTGCTTCCCCTTCACCCTTCTGCCATGATTGTAAGTTTCCTGAGGCCTCCCCAGCCATGCCTCCTATACAGCCAGTGGAACTATAAGTCAATTAAACCTCTTTTCTTTATAAATTACCCAGTCTCAGGTAGTTCTTTATAGCAGTGTGAGAACAAACTTATATATATATATATATATAAATGTTTATCATAAATATACAGCTCACTTGATTTTTCACAATTTGAACATACCAAAGTACCCAGTACTCAGATAAAAAAACAGTACATTAAGGCCGGGCACGGAGGCCACGCCTGTAATCCCAGCACTTTGCAAGGCCGAGGTGGGTGGATCACGAGGTCAGGAGATTGAGACCCTACTGGCTAACACGGTGAAACCCTGTCTCTACTAAAAAGACAAAAAATTAGCCAGGTGAGGTAGCCGGTGCCTTTAGTCCCAGCTACTTGGGAAGCTGAGGCAGGAGAATGGCATGAACCCAGGAAGCAGAGCTAGTAGTGAGCCGAGATCACACCACTGCACTCCAGCCTGGGCAACAGAGCGAGGCTCTGTCTCAAAAAAAAAAAAAAACAAAAAAACCCCAGAACATTGCCAGCATCTCAGAAGCCCATCTTATGCTCCTTTCTAGTCACCTGCCTCCCCCAAGGGTAATCACTATTCTAATTTCTAACAGTACAGATTCCTTTCACTTAAAAAAAAAAAAAAAATTAGCCAGGCATGGTGGCTTGTGTTTGTAGCCCCAGCAACCCAAGAGGTTGAGGCAGGAGGATCACTTGAGCCTGCAGATCGAGGTTGCAGTGAGCGGATTGCACCACTGTACTCCAGCCTGGGTGACAGAGCAAGAGACCCTGTCTCCAAAAACAAGCAAACAAACAACAACAACAAAAACCATTATGAAGCTTGAGTAACAAAAACCAAGGCAGAAACTTGAGAACATAACTCAAGCAACTCACAAATGTGGTTTTCGCTTTCACGTATCTTTATTTGTAGAGATGAGTTTCAAGTGGCTGTGAGTTGCAGCTTAAGCAACCCCCATTACAATCAATTCCAGTACTCTGTGGCTTCTAACACACTACAAACCAAATCATACTTCCCACTTAACACTCAATTCAACAAATGTGCCACTCACCCACGTCTCTTTTTGTCCTCATTGCCATCATTCTAGTTTAGTTAGGCTCCCATCATGTTCCATCCAGAGTAATAACTCCCTGCCTCCAATTTTCTTCCTCCAATCCATCCCAGCACAGATTCTTAGATTAATCTCATTTTTTCAGTACAGCTAGTAAGTGGATAGTGCCAGTGCTAATACTAGTGATAGTAGTAAGTATGTACACCAAAAAGAACAAAACATGATTCTTGTCTGGAATGAACTAATACTCTGGCAATGGAGGGAGATATACAAATGAATAATTTTAACATAGTTAAATCATATGTGCTTTTTCTAAAGACTACCCTATGGGTCGGGAGTTGTGGCTCACACCTATAATCTCTCAGCAATTTGGAAGGCCAAGGTGGGAGTATCACTTGAGACCAGGAGTTCAAGATCAGCCTGGGCAACACAGCAAGATGTCATCTCTACAAAAAATTTAAAAATTAGGCCAGGCGTGGTGGCTCACGTCTGTAATCCCAGCACTTTGGGAGGCCAAGACATGCAGATCACCTGAAGTCAGGAGTTCAAGACCAACCTGACCAACACGGAGAAACCCTGTCTCTACTAAAAATACAAAAATTAGCCGGGCATGGTGGTACATGCCTGTAATCCCAGCTACTCGGGAGGCTGAGGCAGGAGAATTGCTTGAACCCGGGAGCTGGAGGTTGCAGTGAGCCGAGATCGTGCCACCACCTCCAGCCTGGGCAACAAGAGTGAAACTCTGTCTCAAAAAAAAAAAAATTAGTAGGGCATGGTGGCACAGACCTATAGTCTTAGCTACTTGGGAGGCTGAGGGAGGAGGATCACTTGAGCCCAGGAATTTGAGGTTGCAGTGAGCTATGATCATTATACTCCATCCTGGGAAAGAAAGACCCTGTCTGAAAAATAAAAATAAAAATAAAAATTCTATACTACTCTCAATTCTGATCTTGATCATAATAAAAAAGAAAAAGACTATACTTTGCGGGCTATGCCTAATTGGAAACTGCTTTTAGCCCCTTTCCATTTACAGAGTCACTTATTAGATTATTTCATTAACACTTTGGGACCTGAGGGGATGACTATAAGAGTTAGATTTTTATGAAAAATGAAAGGTGGCTAACAAACTGTGTGTGGCTGAAGACAGGATGAGAATACTGAGCATAATAGGGCAAGGCCAGACAATGGGATTCCTGGGGAGATTAATTAATCTGACCACAAGCCTTTCTGTTCAAAGGCTTTTTTTAAAAAATTCATGGGCTGGGTGCTTTGGCTCATGTCTGTAATCCCAGCACTTTGGGAGGCCAAGGCAGTCGGATCACTTAAGGCCAGGAGTTCAAGACCAGCCTGGCCAACATGGTGAAACCCCATCTCTACTAAAAATACAAAAATTAGCTGGGCGCGGTGGTGGGTGCCTGTAATCCCAGCTACTCAGGAGACTGAGGCAGGAGAATTGCTTGAACCTGGGAGGTGGAGGTTGCAGTGAGCAGAGATCATGCCACTGCACTCCAGCCTGGGTGACAGAGCGAGAGTCCATCTCAAAAAATAAATAAATAAAAATTCATATTCTTTAACTGATATTCATGGCTCTCCACAATGTGACCCTAACTTATCTTTCAAGTCTTCCATTCTAGTACTTGACCATATCCTCTTCTTTCCTTAAACAAGGTTCCCAAATGTACTATGTGCTTTCCTGCCTCATTCCTTTCCTCAAACCATTTCTTTCGCCTGAAATACAATTCCTTCCCCTGCTGTCTGACAAGATCTTATCTGTTCTTCAAAACCTAGCTCAAATACCACCTATTCTCTGACCATGAAGGCCTGAAGTAAACTATTCCTCTTCAAGTGAATTCCTAGAACCCTTTCTTTAAACAGGGAGTCCCTAATCCCCAGGCCATAGACTGCTATTTGTCCACAGCCTGTTAGGAACCAAGCTGCACAGCAGGAGATGAGCAGCAGGTGAAGGAGCATTACCACCCGAGCTCCGCCTCCTATCAGCTCAGCGGCAGCATTAGATTCTCATAGGATTGCAAACCCTATTGTGACCTGCACACGTGAGGGATCCAGGTTGTGAACTCCCTATGAGAATTTAATGCCTGATGATCTAAGGTGGAACAGTTTCATCCCAAAACCATTCCAGCCCCCAATCCATGGAAAAATTGTCTTCTACAAAACTAGTCCTTGGTGACAAAAAGGTTGGGGACCACTGCTTTAAACTACTCTTTTAGTATTTATTACATGTTGCCTTATATTTGTTGAATAAATGAGTAAATGAAAGTACTAACTAGGGCCAGGCAGCAGTGGCTCATGCCTGTAATCCCGGAACTTTGGGAGGCCGAAGCTTGAGGTCAGGAGTTTGACAACTGCCTGGTCAACATGGTGAAACCCCGTCTCTACTAAAAATACAAAAATTAGCCAGGCATGGTGGTCAATGCCTGTAATCCCAGCTACTCTGGAGGCTGAGGCATGAGAATTGCTTGAACCCAGGAGGTAGAGGTTCCAGTGAGCCAAGACTGTACCACTATGTTCCAGCCTGGGTGACAGGGCAAGCTCCATCTCAAAAAAACTAAATGAATACTACGAATGCTATACATCAGGCATGACGGCAGACAAGTCATGGTCTCTGTTTTTGTGGGTCTTACACATTCTTTCAAAAGCAAAGGTGTAGTTCTGCACACCATAGTATGAAGAAAAAAGAAAAGGTGCTATAATCTCAGATATTAGAGGAAAAAACAAAGCGGCATTTAAAATAACTACAAGTAGCTACATAAATGTCTACCATAGACTAGACATGAAGCTGGCTCCTTACAAATAAGATTTTACTTAAATCACTCAAGCATTCCTGAGATATATGTTACTATCTCCTTTTTATAGTAAAGAAGCTAAGATTCAGAGAGACTAATCTGCTCCAAGTCACATACTAGTTTGGAGCAGAACTAGTACTCTTTCTGATTCAAGTCTAGCTCTAAATCCTCTCATCATTCCATTATGCCATGCTTCTTTCCTGGATGCAGCTATAGACATAATTTACAACAAAAGTTACTATTTCAGCCACTTGATTGTTACTAAAAATAGTTTTACACAGAGACAGCCCAAAACTAGGGAGCCCTTTCCCTTCCCTACTCTTTTTCTGAGAAACAGGGTTAGCTCTTTTATCTTACATGTTCTATATTTTATCATTGTAAGGGTGGCTTTGGGAAATTTCACTACTCTTTAATGAGTCCGTATAGCATCGGATTCTTTCGAGCAGAAGCAATTTATTACAATGCAATCATCAGAATTTTTTCTTTTTTCTTTTCCAAACACTAACTTGAACCACAGCCAGATTTAAACACTTCTGCACTCTGAGTTATAAAAGATTTCTACTATTACTGACAGTGTTGTGTCAGTAATCAGCCTTACAAACATGTTAGTATTTAGCAACCTACAGAAATATGAAAAGTTCTGTCACACGCAAGAGTGAGAAGCATTATGTGGTGAAAAGGGCATTAGCTTTAAGGTCAGAGAGTCCCTGATAATTTGCTATGCAACCACAGGTAAGTTACTTATCACCAAGCACCAAGCTATAAAGTAGGAATACAAGGTAAAATGGAGATAATGTCCACTTTGCAGGTTGTTATGTACACAAGAATGTACATAAAATGCCTGGCACTGCCATATATATTCAATATCATTTCCCTTACTTCCAGATAAGATTCCTTCAAATTCAAAGTGATTTTGCTCAGAACTGTAAACATAAGACTTTCCAAACTTTTCACCAATAAGATCCCACTCAAATAACATTCTATCATTTTTCTTGTCTTTTAAATTCATCAATGACATAATTGCCATTGAGAGTACCTAATTAACATAAGACAAACAATGTGATATTTTATCATCAAAAGCAACAAAATAACAGCATGGTTAACCTGAGGATACACACACAATTTTGGATGGCTTTCTAAAACACTAAAAACAGTTAATAAACCCTCCAACGGTGGTGGTGGCTCCCGCCTGTAATCCCAGCACTTTGGAGGCTGAGACGGGCAGATCACCTAAGGTGAGGAGTTCAAGACCAGTCTGACCAATGTGGAGAAACCCTGTCTCTACTAAAAATACAAAATTAGCCAGGCGTGGTTGCACATGTCTGTAATCCCAGCTACTATGGAAGCTGAGGTAGGAGAATCACTTGAATCTGGGAGGCGGAGGTTGCAGTGAGCTGAGATTGTGCCATTGCACTCCAACCTAGGCAATAAGAGTAAAACTCGTCTCAAAAAAAAAAAAAAAAAAACACCTCCAAGATCCCCCTCTAAGGGACTTTAGTGATCCAAGAACCTCCAACGAGAAATTTAAGAAAGAAGCCTGGGCATTGTGGCTCACACTTGTAATCCCAGCACTTTGGAGACCAAGGTGGGAGGATCGTTTGAATCTAGGTGTCCAAGAACAACCTGGGCAACATAGGGAGACCCTGTCTCTACAAAATAAAAATTAGGTGTGGTGGCATGTGCCTGTAGTCCCAGCTACTCAGTAGGCTGAGGTGGGAGGATAGCTTAGGCTCGGGAGGTCAAGGCTGCAGTGAGCTGTGATCACGGCACCGCATTCCAACCTGGGCGACCCCGTCTCAAACAAAAAAAAAAAAAAAGAAAAGAAAAGAAATTCACGAAAGACTTGAGACAGACAGAAAATTCCTTGTATTGCCAGATGTTATCCTACGTAGATAATTTCCCATTCCTAAATAAAAGGTAAGAAGAGCCAATGAAAGTAAGATGTTTTCAGAGCACAGTGTATCCCAAGATATGGGAGTCTAAACCTTGCTGGAGTTGCTCCTGGATTACTCTACCCTTACACATGGTCTCTATGTGGAAGAGACCCACGTAACCCCAATGCAGAAATCACTGGGAGACAGGTAAAGAATAGTTCTTCATGAATGCTTATTAGCTAACTTGTTAAACGGCAGAAACAGAAAGAGATTAAGGGAAAGGAAACAAAACCATTAATGGAGCACTCCAATGCCAGGAGTTTGGTATGTTAGCATTTCATCTTAGAACGCTATGCAGCAAGGTGTTAACTATTTTATTTTTATTTTATTACTTTATTTTATTTTTTGAGACCGAGTCTTACTCTGTCACCCAGGCTGGAGTGCAGTGGCACGATCTCAGCTCACTGCAACCTCTGCCTCCCGGGTTCAAGAGATTCTCATGCATGCCTCAGTCTCCCAAGTAGCTGGGACTAGAGGTGCGCACTACCACACCCAGCAAATTTCTAATTTTGTATTTTTAGTAGAGACGGGGTTTTGCCATGTTGGCCAGGCTGGTCTCAAACTCCTGACCTCTCAGGTGATCCGCCTGCCTCAGCTTCCCAAAGTGTTGGGATGACAGGCGTGAGCCACTGTGCCTGGTCTAACTTCATTTTACATTTCTAAAACCCAAAGATTGCAAAGGTTATGTAACTCATCAATATCACAAAGTCCATAAATGGTAGAGTTACCAATTCAGTCTGATTTACTAAAGCATTTTATGCTTTGGGAGGCAGAAGAATTTTCACCTTTCCAAACCTTTTACTTACTCAATGATAACATTGTTGGGATCAAGGTCTTTCCCAGTCCCTTGGTTGACAACTTTCATGGAGAGGGATACTTTTATCCTATCATTTTTCATCTGAAAGAGACCAAAAAAGTCACCAAAAACTTCAGATACATCATTTAGATGGCCAGTCTAAAATTAAGAGTCAATGTTTTCATCATCATAATATTGAGCTTCTTTAATGGACCAGGTACTGTGCGAGGAACATTGCGGATACAAATAAGCATAACAGGTAGACCCTATGGCAGAATTATTTTAGGAAACAGTCTTAATCTCATTCCTCTCCCTCTGTGGAAAGACAAAAATGGTAGCTCAAAAAATCCAAGGCCTGTGGAAGTAACCAGGCAGAAAATAAAAGCTTTTCCTCCAGGTAAGTTCAGCATAGTGATTTGTTCAGAGATCCCTACGTCCAGAATAGGTTTTTGAACATTTCAGGAGACTAGATCTTCTTCTGGACTTGGTCTAGAGCTTCTTTAAGCATGAAGACATTTGTCACATTGGTCTTCTTTTGCTTCCCACAGCAAATGAAGCATTTCTTCACTTCAGGGTCTTTGCATCAGTTATTCTCTCTGCCTGAAATGTTCCTATCCCAAGTCTTCCATGACTAGTACCTTTTCTTTAAGGTCTCAGCTCATATACTATCTCCTCAAAGAGTCCTTTCCTGACAACTAGTAAATCTTCCTCCAATAGTGTTTGAACCCAATATAGCACTTAATATAACTTACAATTATTTTATGTATATTTGTCTGGGCCAGGCATGGAAATTCATGCCTGCAATTCCAGCACTTTGGGAGGCAAAGGCAGGAGGATCACTTAAGCCCAGGAGTTTGAACCAGCCTGGGTAGTAACACAGTGAGATCCCGTCTTGAAAAAAAAATAAAAAAAAAAAAAAAAAAAAAAAAAAAAAAAAGCCAGGTTTAGTGGTGTGTGCCTGTAGTCCCAGATACTCAGGAGGCTGAGGTGGGAGGATCAGTTGAGCCCAGGAGGCTGAGGTTGCAGTGAGCCATGATGGCGCCACTGTACTCCAGCCTGGGTGACAAAGAGAGACCCTGTCTCAAAAAAGAAAGAAAAATTGTGTCTTCTACTTATATTCTATATAAGCTCCATAATAGCTGGGATCATTTATGTCTGGTTTGCTCTTATATCTCCCAAACCTAGCACATATTAAGCACTTAATTATTATTGAATAATAGCTCTTTCATGCCTATCTCCCATGCCTTGCTCTGGTAGAAGAACAGGACTCAGTGTATACTCTTACTTCTCCTGTGGTCTGCCCACACCCACAGCGCTCATACCCTCAAGTAAGTAACAGGGTCCTTCAGATTTTTTTCACTTTCTGCACATTGAATGATGCCAGATATTAGGGAAAATGACTGTAAACTATCTGCGTTCTTTTTGTTTTGTCCCAAATTGAAGTGTATCTGGCAGGTATTCTTTGAAGTTTGTGATAAACACTTGTCCCATAGATCAAGTTTCCTTCTCTCTTTTTGGTTCTTTTTTTTCTCCTCCTGCCCACCCTCTGGGTAAACTTCAGGGAGGGAAGTTTTACAAACATGCACTTATTGCACCACACTTTTATAGCTCATATCATTCCTTCTGAGTTTGCAGGACAGTCTGCCAGAAGGTTTGAATTCCAAATAGATTCTAGTGGCAGGATTTAAATATAAGATTATCAGCCACAATTAACAAAATTTACACACTCACTATCATAAAATACAAAAATCCCAGCTCTTCCTAAACCTTTCTAACCACATGGGAGCCGCACAGAACTTTACCTCTCGGCCAATAAGCTTCACCCACACTTTATCTCCAACATCTACTATCTCAGAGGGCTTATCCACCCGACAGGATGACATGTGAGTTCGATGGACCAGACCTGGGCACAAGAAGAAGAAATAACATAAAGCAGAGGGCACATCTGGTATTTATACTCTAAACTAGATAAGAGGTAAGAGTTGGGGAATGCAAGTGGAAAATGAAATTTTTCACAGAAAAGTGTGAAACTTAAAACTGCAAATTGAGACTGCTTTTTATAAAACCCAATCAACCAACAAACATTCTTAAGATAATGCTCAAAGTGGCTGGGCACAGTGGCTCATGCCTGTAATCACAGCACTTTGGGAGGCTGAGACAGGCAGATTGCCTGAGCTCAGGAGTTCAAGACCAGCCTGGGCAACATGGCAAAACCCAGTCTCTACAAAAAATACAAAAAAAAAAAAAAAAAAAAACCTGGCTGGGTATGGTGGCACATGCCTGTAGCTCCAGCTACTCAGGAGGCTGAGATGGGAGGATCGCATGAGCCCAGGAGGTTGAAACTGCAGTGAGCTGCAACTGCGCCACTGCACTCCAGCCCAGGTGACAGAGCAAGACTTTGGCTCAAAAAAATAAGTAAATAAAATAGGCTGGGCGCAGTGGCTCATGCCTGTAATCCCAACACTTTGTGAGGCCAAGATGGGAGAATACCTTGAGGTAAAGAGTTTGAGACCAGCCTGGTCAACATAACGAGACCCTATCTCTATTTTTTAAATATTATAAATCTTATTTTAAAATTAAACAAAAAATTAAAAAATTTTAATGCTCCATATTAGTAAAGATGTGATAAAATAACTGTAGTTACACAATACTGATAGAAATGTAAGCTGGTAAAATTATTTGAAAGTAAAAAGATAAAGATGTTTACATCTTTGATGCAAGAATATCATCAATAGAATTTTTCTCCAAAGGAAAAACTCAAAAGAGCCAAAAAATTGACAGAGCTGAAATAACTTGCAGTCTAGCCTGGGCAACATGGTAAAGCCCCATTTTTACCCAAAATACAAAAATTACCTGGGCGTGGTGGTGCGAACCTGTGATCCCAGCTACTCAAGAGGCTGAGGTGGGAGGACTGCTTGAGCCCAGGAGGCAGAGGTTGCAGTGAGCTGAGATTGCGCCACTGCACTCCAGCCTGGGTGACAGAGCAAGACCCCCGTCTCACAAATAAATACATACATACATACCTACCTACCTACCTACCTACCTTGCAGTATTATTACCTACAGAGGTTAAAAAATATATAAGAACCATAAAAAAACCCTAATGAATAATAAGTGGAAAATAGCATGGCAAACATGGTAAATCTGTTGAATAAAAGAGTAAACAGCCATTTAAATTAATTACAAAAAATAATTATGATAGACATTAAGTTAAAAAAGGAAATATAAGCATGCTACTATTTTTAATCCATTAAATTAGCAAAATATTTAGAAAATAATATTCAATGTGCTGAAAGGATAGTAAAATTAGAACTATTACTAAGGCTAGAATAAACTTTTGGAAGTCACTATCAATGGCTATCAAGAATGATAAAATACTCATAAACTATTACACATTTAATAAAAATAATTTAAAATCAAATAATTGCTGGGCATGGAAGCTCAGGCCTGTAATCCCAGCACTTTGGGAGGATTGCTTGAGCCCAGGTATTCAAGACTAGGCTGGGCAATATAGTGAGACCCCATCTCTACAAAAATTACAGAAAAATTAATAGGATGTGGTGGTGCATGCTTGTAGTTCTAGATACTCAGGAGGCTGAGGTGGGAGGATGGCTTGAGCCCAGGAAGTCAAGGCTACAGTAAGCTGTGATGATGCCATTGCACTCCAGCCTAGGTGACAGGGCGAGACTCTGTCTCAAAAATAAATCAAATCAAATAATAATTTAAAAACATTTAATAAAACACTTATAGCAGATATCCTTTTCCTGTCTGTCTAAAATCCTTTGCTTGGGAGAACCACCTTGCTTATTACATTTTACATATACAAATCAGCATTATAAACTACAAAAAATTGCCAATGCCAATCTTTACCACCAGATGGCAAGAGTCTGCCAGAGAAAAGCAAAGAAGAGCACTGGTAAACAAGAAACAAAGCCCTGGGAGTGTAAACTGAGCAACCAATACAGCAAAGGCTGAAGTCTCAGTAATAAAGGAAAGAGATGCAAGGGGCAGAAACATAATTGAGAAACCTAACTGAGATTTATCCTGGAAGTCTCTGACAAGATTGGCCAAAATGTTTCCCAATTAAGTTTCTGCCCCTTGCAACCAAGAGTTCTAATACTTTATTTGACCCCTAATTGCTTCTGGGAACCTGTCCTAAGAAAATAACTTTATACATAGGAAAAACTATATGCTTCAGGAAAAGTGATCTACATCAAAATATGCAAAGTATTTTTAAGACAGGAAAATTTAGAAACAACCTAATTTCCAACAAAAAGGTAACAATTAGGTCAATTATGGTATAGTCGCTTGATGGTCCATTCAAAAGATATTTAAACAAGTCAATAATCCCTTCTTTAGTAAATATTTATTGAGTGCCTATTATGTATCAAGTACTGTAGATATCTAGCATTTTCCCATGCTAAATAACAAAAGTATAATGCAGAATTATACAGTATGATTACAAATGCTTTAAAAACATTTTAAAAATTAGAAAGAAATGGCTTGAAATGCTAACAATGGTTATAGTATTATAAGTTAATCTTTTCATTTATTTTTGATAATAAATAATAAAGAGGATTACTTCAATTCTGGAGAAAATTAACATAAATAATTACTCTGAATGAATACAAATCAGTCATCCTGTCTGAAATAACTGCCCTCCCTAAAGTTCCTTGGGAAATTTACCCACCTCCATTCTCATTCTCCCACTCTCTCTTTCACACACACACACACACACACACACACACAGAGAGAGAGAGAGAGAGAGAGAGAGAGAGAGAGAGAGAGAGAGAGAGACAGGAGAGAGAAAGAAAGACGGAGATGCACATGGATGCCTGCACATGCCTGCAACTCAAAGTACCTGCCCTTTCTGTTTAGAGCTCCTCCTGGGAGCCACTACTTTCTCTATCCATCATCACTACATCTCTCATACCTACATAAGCTGATTCTGGAGGTTGATAGCCTACCTATCTAAACAATTCTGGGGCCTCTAAAACGTTTTATATACATTATGTTTTTAATTTTAGATCAATACATAATCTCCAAATTGGGTGAAATTCATGCAAATGGGGTTTTTACTTTTTTTCCCCTACGATGTAATGAGCCGACTAGCCTAAAAAGTTTGAAGAGGAAATTCAGATCCCATAAAGGGGAAACCCTTCACCTCGACTTGTTTTGGGCTGCAACGGTCCTCTACTGGTTAAAATTCATCTTTTTCCTCTATTGCTGATGAAAGTTATGAAGCAAATTAATGTTGAACCTAATATACTTGAGGGAACACTATCCTTCTTCCCTAAAACAGAAAGTCTATTTACTGGAGTACCACACAGAAATAATGGCATCAAAACTTGTCCTTCTCTCACTTGATTCCAAAGTGTGTATGTATGTGTATGTATGTTATGTGGTTTTTCACATAACCAGTGAAAAAATGACAAAATATTTCAAATGAACTTTGTCTTTAAGTAGTTTAAGCAAGTTAATTTGAAATATTTTGCTCTTTTATGCTATAAATGTGTTTTATGCTACAACTGAATTTTTATGGGTGTTCAGAGTACATGTAAGTTAGTGAGAGTAAACTATATATATACACACACATACACACATACATATGTATTTTATTTTATTATTTATCTTTTTGAGATGGAGTCTCACTCTGTCGCCCAGGCTGGAGTGCAACGGCGCAATCTCTGCTTACTGCAACCTCCACCCCCCGGGTTCAAGTGATTCTCCTGCCTCTGCCTCCTGAGTACCTGGGATTACAGCCTCCCGAGTAGCTGGGATAACCACACCTGGTTAATTTTTTGTATTTTTAGTAGAGATGGGGTTTCACTATGTTGGTCAGGCTGGTCTTGTATTCCTGATCTCATGATCCAGCCACTGCGCCCGGCATTTTATTTTTTTATTCTACTTTATTATTTTATTTTTTATTTTATTTTACTTATTTTATTTTTGGTACTGGTAGCTATCTCCTGGATAAACATGACAAGTCTAGAAGCACTAACAGTGAAAAACTGGAAACAACTTAAAACGATTATGTGGTACATCTGAATGACAGAATAAAGCTATTAAATGTTTATAGAAAATATTTTTTTAATGGGGAAATGTTTAAGGTCCATTACGTGCAAAAAACTACAAATTTTAAATATACAGTATAATCTTAATCTCAACATATTAAATTGTGTACACATATGTAAATACACAGAAATACACCAAAATGTTAGCCAGGCATGGTGGCTCATGCTTGTGATCCCAGCACTTTCGGAGGCTGAGCCGGGCAGATCACTTGAGGTCAGGAGTGACCAGCATGGGCAACATGGTGAAACCCCATCTCTACTAAAAATACAAAAATTAGCCAGGTGTGGTGGCAGGCACCTGTAGTCTCAGCTACTTAGGAGGCTAAGGCAGGAGAATAACCTGAACCCAGGATCGTGCTACTACACTCCAGCGTGGGTGACAAAGCAAGATTCCATCTCAAAAAAAAAAAAAAGAGAAATACACCAAAATGTTAACAGTGCCTATCTCCATACGGTAGTAATAGCACATAATGATCATTTTCTGTTGTATTTTTTTCCCTCTATTTTTCTATGATGAGCATGCATTATTTCTGATCATAAAAATTATAATTAAATAATATATACACTATGAAATAATGTGAAACTATGTCTCATATGGACATAGACCAAAAGGAAACATAAAAATAGTTACAACAGGGTACAGGATTATTAAACATGAGACATTAACGGCTTATTACCAAAAGGCCTTAGCTTATACAGCTTTATACAGAATTAAACAAAAGACATGGTCTAGCCCTCGCCCTCGATCTTGAATGCAAATGTCAGGTAGGCAGTTGCATATCCAAGTCTGTAGCTCAGGGGAAGGGTATGAACTGTAGATATAAGTGCAG